GCATTTTCTACTTCCACTGGCCACAGTCCAGCTCCCCTAAAGTCCAAAGGACAGTAGACTGGACTTTTGCTTGGAACGTTTGGAGACCCCAGGTCTACGACATTCAGAATTAGGACATTGTTGTTAATTAAGTTGGCCAGGGTGGATATTTACCTTTTTATATTTTATTTTTTCAGTAACGTCCCAAAGCAACCATTAATTTTTCAGTATGGAGGGAAATGACAGAGAATAATACAACTGAATCTGAGTGACCTGAGTGACCTGACCTCTGTGACTTCTGTGACCAGCCGCGGTGAGCGGGGTGAAACATGTTAGGAAGGCATGACTGGAGTGGCGCTGGCTGAGGCCACATTCATCTACATACTAATGCACTGGGTTGGTGAGCAACACCTTTTCTCCTCTTTGAAGATGTAACAAATAGTTATTAACAAGTTGTTATTGCAATAAAATCATTATTATCACAAAACATGTTTAAAATGTTTAAACTGCTATTGCACTACATAACTGCACAATTTTTAGTGCAGTCATGTGGTGTGACTTTGATGCAAATTGGTTGTGTTTTTTTTCTATGAGGCACTTTAAATTACACCAAAGTATCAGAAGAACTTTTTCTGAAATCACACTGTGCTGAGTTGCATTGATGTGAACTGGCACCATTGATAGTAATGTGATTTCCCTTGTTATTCAATTCTGTGCGACTCAAGTCACATCAGAAAGAAATCACATTAGTGTAAACGAAGCCTTTTTCAGTAAAGCAGAATTAAAAAATTGATTATCCGCACACAGTCGTTAAAGCTGAACTCTAGGTAGATAAAAAAGACACACATTAACACAGTTATGTAATCAATAAGACATAATTAAATGTATATTATAATGTAGGCAGTGTAAATGCCCAAACATGACCTGAAAATGGTCCCCATGCAGCAGAGTTGGGCCATGAGAGGAGAAAGCAATAGGAGGAGCCAATCAGTTCATAAGCTGATAAGGAGCATGTTGATAGGAAGAGAAAGCAGAGTGACAGAAAGAGATTACTGCACTCATCATGCTGGTCTAGAACGGCCTGGGCTCAGAGGAAGTGGGTAAAAAGATGCAGGCCACCATACTGAGACAGAAATAAAGTACTGCAGAGGAAATCTCTCTTTTTATCTTTTAATGGGCTACTCATTTGTATATTGTATTATTTGTTTTTTTGCTTTAACATAGGACTCTAGCGAAAGGTTTTTTTTCATGCTTTAGAGAATTGCTTAAACCTCTGCCAGACTTTTTTTTCAATCTGGGAGGATTTCCCTTCACATCCTGAGCCAAAGATTTAACAGGAAGCGAGACGTAATTTCTCCCCAGTGAGAAAGAAGCTGCTCTCCAGAAAGAAAGGTGTTCTCATTGGATGATTTCTCCTCATGTAATGTGCTTGTTTAAAATTTTGGATTCTCCCTCACTTTGCATCCCTATTACAATGGTCACCAAGAAAAAACAGACAGGGTGAATCTCCCCAGTGGGGAACACAGACAGTAATAAAAACCTGACAGACCTTTTAATCTTTCACACTTTATCCAAAACCCCAAAAAAATCTTTGCCTACAAATACCTCTGAAGACCATAACACATCTTGTCCCAACAATGAAAGATACATGTCTTTTGTTTACTAATGAACATTTCAATTGCTTATTAAACATGTAAGATTTGCATTATTATTTGTGTTTCTAGTTCTGGGAAGCATTTAACTATTGGATTGCTCATTTTAACAGCTTTACCAAAAATTCCCCACAAATTATACACAAGGGGGTAAACTCCATCAGGTAGAACTATGAAAAGAATGGCCTTTAATTGCACGTAATTAGCATAAATTAAATATGCAGAGAGGCAATGAGAGCTCAGTGGCTCTTAACCTCACTGTGTGTGTTTTGTAATTGTTGCCAAACATAAGACGACAGGATGCTGGGAGATATTAACCCGGAGCTTGGGAAGTATAAGAGATGGCATGAGCCAATGTGGAGACAGGGTGAGGCAGGGGGTAGATTGGGAGATACTCAGAAATGGAGTAAAGGTGAGCAGGCCACATTACAAGCACTTAAGTCGTATATAATTTAAGTTAATTATAACTGTCATATAATTCAATTTGTGGCAATCATGATGGGATTATGTCATAGGCAAGCACAGGCAGAGCAGATTAACCTACATTCTCTAAGTCAAGAGCAAGCAATTTTAAAGTGGTTTAAACATTTAAAATACATAAACTAGCAATAAAAAGGTTAAAGGGCGGTTATAGGTTAGCAGCATCAAAATACATACTGTGCAGTAATATGTGCTAAATATTCAGTAGCAATTTCCCTTGTTATCAGAAACGTAAGCTGTTTTTAACCCCTTTAAGCCTCAAGGTAAAACAGATCTCAACACCTGAACCCAGTTTTGTAAATCTGACATGTGTTAAAGTGGCTGTAAAGCCTCACATACTGTATAATCGGTGAAGTGACTGGCCTCAGGCGGTACACAGAAATGACATAAATCCTCCTTCATAAGTCATACCTGTTTATCTGCAGCATTCTCTACAGTTGTTAAAAGTGCTGAATTTCATAAAGCTTATCTGAAAGTTCAGAAAAAAGGGGGCGAGAGCTGAAAGTACACTCTGCAGAGCTCAATGAAAAAAGCTCTGAGAGCTGATTGGAGGGAAGAGACACCCCCCTCCACACAGTCCATAGAAACAGAGGTGAGGCTGTCAATCTGCTGAAGCTCCTTCCCCTGTCACTATTTTTCTCTTGGTGTCAGGAAAACTTGTGAGAACTCATTAATTAAATGATAGTAGAGGAAAGGGGCAGCAGACAGAAGTAAAACGTAGTGCTCCTAATTGAGATAAGTACACACTAAATATGTGTGATATGTTTTGTTCATATGTCATGTATGAGGTGTACAACCACTTTAAGTAAAACTGTACATATCATTGCAACTTTTTAGTGTATCCAGGTGAGTTTCGGGACAAATTGGGATTCAATTTGGTGATAATTTTAGTAGGTATCGCCTGTTTTTTTTTTATTTACACACACACATATACAGTATTTCCCAGAAGTGAGTACACCCCTCACATTTTTGTAAATATTTTATTATATCTTTTCATGTGGCAACACTGAAGAAATTACTTTGCTACAATGTAAAGTAGTGAGTGTACAGCTTGTATAACAGTGTCAATTTGCTGTCCCCTCAAAATAACTCAACACACAGCCATTAATGGCTAAACTGCTGGCAACAAAATTGAGTACACCCCTAAGTGAAAATGTCCAAATTGGGCCCAATTAGCCATTTTACCTCCCCAGTGTTATGTCACTCCTTAGTGTAACAAGGTCTCAGGTGTGAATGGGGAGCAGGTGTGTTAAATTTGGTGTTTTTGCTCTCACTCTCATACTGGTGACTGGAAGTTCAACATGGCATCTCATGGGAAAGAACTCTCTTTGGATCTGAAAAAAAGAATTGTCCTACATAAAGGTGGCCTAGGCTATAAGAAGATTGCCAAAAAACCTGACACTGAGCTGCAGCACAGTGGCCAAGACCATACAGCAGTTTAACAGGACAGGTTCCACTCAGAACAGGCCTCGCCATGGTCGACCAAAGAAGTTGAGTGCACATGCTCATTGTCATATCCAGAGGTTGTCTTTGGGAAATAGATGTATGAGTGGTGGCAGCATTGCTGCAGAGGTTGAAGGGGAGGGAGGTCAGCCTGTCAGTGCTCAGACCATACGCCGCACTGTATCAAATTGGCTTGCATGGCTATTGTCCCAGAAGGAAGCCTCTTCTAAAGATGATGCAAAAGAAAGCCAGCAAACAGTTTGCTGAAGACAAGCAGACTAATAACATGGATTACCGGAACCATGTCCTGTGGTCTGATGAGACCAAGATAAACTTATTTGGTTCAGATGGTGTCAAGCGTGGCTAAATGGTTAGCACGTTTGCCTGGCAGTACTAGGGTCGTTGGCTCGAATCCCAGCCACGCCACCACCTGCCTAGAGTTTGCATGTTCTCCCTGTGACTGCGTGGGTTTCCTCCGGGTACTCCGGTTTCCTCCCACACTCCAAAGACATGCTGGTAGGTTACTTGGCTCCTGTCTAAATTGTCCCTAGTATATGTATGTATGAATGTGAGTTAGGGACTTTAGATTGTACGCCCCTTGAGGGGTAGGAACTGATGTGAATGTACAATATATGTATGTAAAGCGCAGCGTAAATTGATGGCGCTATATAAATACCTGAAATAAATAAATAAGGGTGTGTGGCGGCACCCAGGTGAGGAGTACAAAGGAAAATGTGTCTTGCCTATAGTCAAGCATGGTGGCGGCAGTGTCATGGTCTGGGGCTGCATGAGTGCTGCCGGCACTGGGGAGCTACAGTACATTGAGGGAACCATGAATGCCAACATGTACTGTGACATACTGAAGCAGAGCATGATCCCCTCCCTTCAGAAACTGGGCTTCAGGGCAGTATTCCAACATAATAAAGACCCCAAACACACCTCCAAGATGACCACTGCCTTGCTAAAGAAGCTAAGGGTAAAGGTGATGGACTAGCCAATCATATCTGCAGACCGAAACACCATTGAACATTTGTGGGGAATCCTCAAATGGAGGGTGGAGGAGCACAAGGCCTCTAACATCCACCAGCTCCTTGATGTCATCATCGAGGAGTGGAAGAGGACTCCAGTGGCAACCTGTGAAGCTCTGGTGAACTCCATGCCCAAGGGAGTTAAGGCAGTGCTGGAAAATAATGGTGGTCACACAAAATATTGATACTTTGGGCCCAATTTGGACATTTTCACTTAGGGGTGTACTCACTTTTGTTGCCAGTGGTTTAGACATTAATGTGTGTTGAGTTATTTTGAGGGGACAGCAAATGTTCACAAATGTTCACTGTAAAGCTTTACATTGTAGCAAAAGTGTCATTTCTTCTTCAGTGTTGTCACATGAAAAGATATAATAAAATATTTACAAAAATGTGAGGGTGTACTCCCTTCTGTGAGATACTCTCAGAAGCTCAGTGAATTCAAGCATGGTACAGTGATAGGTTGCCACCTGTGCAATACGTCCATTGGTGAAATTTCCTTGCTAGTAAAATATTCCACAGTCAACTGTTAGTGGTATTATAACAAAGTGGAAGCAACTGGAAATAACAGCAATTCAGCCATGAAGTGGTAGGCCACATAAAATGTCAGAGTGGGGTCAGCACATGCTGAAGCGCACAGAGCGCAGAAGTCGCCAACTGTCTGCAGAGTCAATAGCTAAAGACCTCCAAACTTCATGTGGCCTTCAGATTAGCACAACAACAGAGAGCTTAAGGAATGGGTTTCCATGGCCAAGCAGCTGCATCCAAGCCTTGTATCACCAAGTGCAATGCAAAGCGCCGGATGCAGTGGTATAAAGCACACTTCCACTGGAATCTAGAGCAGTGGAGATGTGTTCTCTGGAGTGGCAATCCGATGGACATGTCTGACTTTGGTGGTTGCCAGGAGAACGGTACATGCCTGATTGCATTGCGCTTAGTTTAAAGTTTGGTGGGGGAATTATGGTATGGGGTTGTTTTTCAGGGGTTGGGCTTGGCCCCTTAGTTCCAGTGAAGGGAACTCTTAAGGTGTCAGCATAACAGGACATGTTGGACAAGTTTTTCTGTTTCATGCTCCCAACTTTGTGGGAACAGTTTGGGGATGGCCCTTTCCTGTTTCAACATGACTGCACACCAGTGCACAAGGCAAGGTCCAAAAAGACATGGATGAGTGAGTTTGGGGTGGAGGAACTTGACTGGCCTGCACAGAGTCCTGACCTCAACTCAGCAGAACACCTTTGGGATGAATTAGAGCGGAGACTGCAAGCCAGGCCTTCTCATTTGACATCACAAATGTAATTCTAGAAGAATGGTCAAACGTTCCCATAGACACACTCCTAAACCTTGTGAACAGTCTTCCTAGAAGAGCTGAAACTGTTATAGCTGCAAAGGGTGGGCCAACTCAATATTGAACCCTATGGACTAAGACTGGGGATGCCATTAAAGTTCATGTGCGTGTAAAGGCAGGCGTCCCAATACTTTTGGTAATATAGTGTGTATATATATATATATATATATATATATATATATATATTCGCTGTAAATGTCTTGCCGTTACCAAGATCCACATTAAAAACCTGCTGAAATAAATGATCTTACTCTTGATGTTTGCAGTATTTATTTGTTTTTCACAATAGTAGGTCCAACAATTAATAGTGTTTTATTTTGCTTTTTTTACCCTACCTAAACACATTGAAACTACATAAAACCCCTTTTTTAATCCTAATAAAAAACACAATGGCCATGACCCTGATACTGACACTAACCTAGATCAAGCCTTGATCTAACCATTATATCTTTATTTTTTTTACACATACTATTGTAAGAGAGTTCCTGCAAGAAGAATCGCGATTGGGAACGCGCATGCACGAAAAAGATCCCGCAGAAGAATCGCCGGTTGTGCGCAGGCGTGCAGGAATGTGCGATCGTGCACATGCACGCACACGTGCACACGCACGGCGAAGATTGGCGCCAGAGGGGCTATTTAAGGTGCGCCTCTGCCCAGATTCAGTGCTGACTGATCTTCAGCTCCCCCTGTGTCCTGCTTACTCCTGTCCGTTTCCTTGTTGCTGACCCGGCTTGTTCCTGACCCGACTCTGAGTACTCTCCTACCCCCGGTTCCTGACTTCGGCTCTGATCCTGACTTTGGCTTTTCCTCCTGATCCTGTACCGCGCTGCCCGACTGTTATGACCCTGGCTATCCTACGACGCCGCTCCAGTCCTGTGTCCTGGCTACATACCTGGCTCTGCTGTGCATCTGGCAATCCACTGTACCTGCCTGGTCTATTACTACAGTACCCAAATCAGAGGATATCCTGCCTACCAAGGTCATCATCTGCAAGAGCCGCAAGCAAACCTCTGGCGCTCTTGTCCCCCTGGTCCTTAGACTCCCTCTGTTCCAACTTCAGCAGCGTCAGGGCTAGTGACACAAGTGAGGCCGACCTCGTCAATTCAGTCTCCCATCAGACAACTATTTTGTTTACATTCTTTTCCTCTGACTAGCAGAAAAAGATACAATCGGGGGAATCAACAAAAAGTGGTGCAAGCACAATGCTTGCCCCACTCTTCTCAACTTAGTAGCTGGAACAGATGCTGCTGGTTGTTAATTAGAACTGATCTGCTCCCTATTTTTGACAGTCACAGCACAGAACAGTAGCTGGAGCTGCATGTTCCTGATTCCTCTGGACCCCCTCCCCCCATTCAGCTGAGTGCAGGAGGGAGGAGGAGGGCTGTGTAGGCTTTAGCCCTGGTTCACACCAATGCGACTTGTTATGCGATTTGACAGTTTCAAATCATATGACGAGTTGCACCCTTTTTTCCACAGTCAAACCTTTCAAAACGAAAGTTTTGAACAGCAATACCAAAACAACAAACTGAGCATATGCAGCTTGCCCCCAAGGCTCTGTACTATCAGCAGATGGATTGGGGACAGTAGAAGAAGGGGAGAATCAGAGAAGTCAGGATCAAACAACCTTTTTACACAATGTGGATGATTAACCCCTTAGGTTCCACGAGTATAACAAACATGCTTTATTGCACATACAGTACAGACTGATTTTACTGTTGTGGGTTTAGTAACACTTTACAATCTCTATTAAATTAATAGGACTAATAACACTTATGCCACAACGATTAAATGTATTTTTGGCACATTTTTCCAAATGCCAATTTAATGTCATACAAACTTCCTAGTAATACTGTAGGTATCCATTAAATGCAGCTAATCTGGAAAGTGTCAACAGCACTTGTGTGAAGTAATCTGCTATTGTTGATACATATACAGTACATCCAGAAAGTATTCCTAGCGCTTAACTTTTGCCACATTCTCTTATGTTACAGCCTTTTTCCAAAATGGATTGAATTAATTTTTTTCCTCAACATTCTACAAACAATACCCTATATTGACAATGTGTAAACAGTTCATTTTGAAATCTTTGCAATTTATTAAAAGTAAATAACAGAAAAAAAACCCATGTACATAAGTATTCACAGCCTTTTGCTCAATACTTTGTTGAAGCACCTTTAGCACCAATTACAGCCTCAAGTTGTTTTGAGTATGATGCTACAAGCTTGGCACACCTATTTTGGGCAATTTCTCCCATTCTTCTTTGCAGTACCTCTCAAGCTCCATCAGGTTGGATGGGGAGCGTCGGAGCACAGCCATTTTCAGATATCTCCAGAGATGTTCAACCTGGTTCAAGTCTGGGCTCTGGCTGGGCCACTCCAGGACATTTACAGAGTTGACCCATAGCCACTCTTTTGTTATGTGGGCTGTGTGCTTAGGGTTGTCCTGTTGAAAGATGAACCGTCGCCCCAGTCTAAGGTCTAGAACGCTCTGGAACAGGTTTTCATCAAGGATGTCTCTGTACATTGCTGCATTCATCTTTCCTTCAATCCTGACTAGTCTCCCAGTTCCTGCCACTGAAAAACATCCCCAAAGCATGATGCTGCCACCACTATGCTTCACTGTAGGGATGGTATTGGCCAGGTGGTGAGCGGCACCTGCTTTCCTCCAGAGATGACACTTGGCATTCAAAGAGTTCAATCTTTCTTTTATCAGAGTTTTGTTTATCATGGTCTGAGAGTCCCTCAGGTGCCTTTTGGAAAACCCCAGGCGGGCTGCCATTTGCCGTTTACTGAGGAGTGATTTCCATCTGGCCACTCTACCATACAGGCCTGATTGGTAGAGTGTTGCAGAGATGGTTTTTCTTCTGGAAGTTTCTCCTCTCTCCACAGAGAAATGCTGGAGCTCTTTCAGAGTGACCATAGGGTGCTTGGTTACCTCCCTGGCTAAGGCCCTTCTCACTTGATCGCTCATTTTGGCAAGGCAGCCCACTCTAGGAAGATTCCTGGTGGTCCAAACTTCTTCCATTTACAGATGATGGAGGCCACTGTGCTCACTGGAACCTTTAATGCTGCAGAAATTTTTCTGTACCCTTGACCAGATCTGTTGCCTTGATACAATCCTGCCTCGGAGGTCTACAGACAATTCTTTGGACTTCATAGCTTGGTTTGTGCTCTGACCTGCACTTTGAACTGTGGGACCTTATATGTCCTATCAACTGAATTTCCTACAGGTGGACTCCAATCGAGTTGTGGAAACAACTCAAGGATGATCAGTGGGAACAGGATGCACCAGAGCTCAATTCTGAGTCTCACGGCAAAGGCTGTGAATACTTATGTACATGTGGTTTTTTAAAAATTTTTTATAATTAATTAATTGCAAAGATTTCAAAACAAACTTCTTTCACGTTGTCATTATGGAGTATTGTTTGTAGAATGTTGAGGAAAAAAATGAATTTAATCTATTTTGGGATAAGGCTGTAACATAACAAAGTGTGGATAAAGTTAAGCGCTGTGAATACTTTATGGATGCACTGTAGGAACCATGTAGCATCTAGGCATTCACAAAAAGGCAGCATGTCCCTTGGGTTAGGTTTAGAAAATTTTTGAACTGGCAATCATAGATATATCCTATATCCAGTAAAAAAACATTAATGGCTGAACTGCATTACATGCATTAAGCTTAGCAAAGTAAAGCAGGAGATCCTCTGGGGTATATGTAAAGGTCACATTAGATTTGCAATTTTTTAAATGTAGAACTGGGGTTCACCACTGAGCTATACATTGTCCCATTTAAAAAAGAAAAAAAAATACTTTTTATTCACCAGCTTCCATTCTGAACTAAGATGTCTCACAAAGCTCGGCTCCATGTTGACTCTCTCCTTCTGAATTGCCAGAATATTTCTTTTAAAACAAAAATAATAATAAACAGTGCGTGCTTAAAAATAAGCTCAAATTATACACGATGTGTAACAAAAAAATTCCTGTAAAATAAATTTTTTGGTGAAAAAACATTTTTTCAAAATGTCAACAATACTGACTTTAAATAAAACATAAATTGATTTCCAAAACTGCATCCATATTACATTTCCTCATAATAAAGACCATATTCCTTTAAGATTACCAAACCAATAAAAAAGTGCAATTTTTAATATCTCTTTCTTTTGCATTTACCATGTTCCAATATGTGACTATAATACACCTCCGTGCTCTTCAGTGCTCACACCCCAAATATCGGTACACTAACCAGATGTGCTGACCCCTTAAGTTAATAAGTGGGTCTGCATTAGCTTTATGTAGTTTTCCACTCCTCCACAGCTGCTTCCAAATCTTTTACATCCTCTGATCCAAAAATCTACTGCAGCCTTATGGTGAAATATTCTTCACCACCATGCCACTCATATCGATTTTAAAAAGCCAAAAAACACAAGCACTATAGTGTAGTAGTGGTTATGAATAAGAGCTAGTTTTTAGCGTGAAACGCGTTAACCTTTTTGTCCCTGACACTGTCTGTGATATGGATTTTACTTATAACGAATAAAGATTGAAGAGTGCAGCAGATTCCGGATTTTCTTTACCTTACACTATAGTGTAGTATATTTT